CTGTACAGTAACGAAGGTCTCGGTAACGATTCCCAAAGCTGCTACAGATAAACTGTAGGGCCTTGGACAAATTACTTGACCCTTCTAAGTCTTAATTTTATTATCTGTAAAATGAGGTAGCTCACTTATTTAAGAAGTTAATTTTTAGCATATAATATGATAACATGTAAAAGCATTTAGTGCAGGGCCTAAGTAACTAACTGCTACTACTTGTTATTATTTTGTTCTGTTCTTACTATTCTAAGATGCCTGATTACTGCTTCCCTCCTTCTTGACTACCACATAAATTTATATTTAAGATTTAAATGGATTACGTGCCAACTAAATGCTGTGTCAACAACAATACAGATTTTCTAAAAAGCCCCTTTAATTCTTTTGTAACTTATTAACGTTCGTATTAGTAGTAAGTGGATGCCACAGCAACGCTGTGTGGTCTCTGCAAGCAATCCAGAGCTGTATCTTGAGTGACTGTTACCGAAAAACACAATCCAAAATGGATACAGCAGAACTTCCTAACGAATTGCTTCTCTCAACTCTGAGCTGTTGTAGCAGGTATTATCTCCCTAAAGACAAGTAATCTTTCAGAACTAAGAATGACGATGCATCACAGAGGAGATTTTCACTCCATGAGATTAAAATCGTTTCAGTAATGTGACCCATGACTCACCTTTCACAGTTCTGACTGAATTATCAAAAAACACATTGTCTCCATGCAAAAGTAGTGGTTTTTGCCTTTACAATTTACTAATGACTTTATATACAAAAATTATAGCTTGTGCTGTAATTTTACTTCTGATGAAAGTTTCAAGAGATTCAGCAGAGAAAACAGTAATAGATGGGCCTAGTTAAGTACAGTTACTTCTGAATTGCCAGGGGAAACTAAAGACCAGAATGGTCTCAGAAAAAAATGATGTTTAATGGCTACATGGAAGCCTCATGAAGAGAAATAAAGCTGCTAACTAAGTAACCTAAAGCTGTTTTACAAGGGCCCTGAAGTCTTCCAGGTATGTAGCTATGAGTTCCAACAAGGAGGCAGGTAAAATTCTATTCCCAGTGATACTGGGGTTTTTTTGGTGTTTTGTTCTTGGTTTTTTTTTTGCTATAAACTAGTTAAAATTTTTATTGCTCACTTATTAAATCTTTAAGAGAAAGATATTTATTGAAGTCATAGTACAAATTACAGAGCTTTCAGAATTTGGCAGATGAAAATATGAGTCAAAGAGAGATGTAATAACACAGAGGAAAAAGAGGCGGGGAAAAAAATAATAGCTAAGTTCTACATTACAAAGACTGAGCACATATTCAAAACTATGGTGAAAGACTGTTAATTTTAAACATAGGAGCAAAACAACTACTCCCAAACAGAATTACTAAGACTAAATTCACTTATATATTAAATATCTTATCCTTTTAAACCAAAAAAGATAATCATGAAATATTTTGAATATGCAAAAAGAATATTCCTAAGTTTATGAAATCTTCTAAAATTGATACATTAAAAAAATAATGTATGTTTCAAATACAGAATTATAGATTTTTACAGAGTTTTCTTTTCAGACATAAAATTCTTTCAGGCATATTCCTCATTCATAATTTTATGTCAACAGTTTCTTTATCTTTTCTATCTTCATGAAGTAAAGCTTATACCTAGACCCTAAAGTTAGTATTACAAGTATTCTTCAGGGACATACAATTCTTCATATAGTTTTACAGAAACAACTAAATCAGGAGTGGAAGCTTCAAGGGAAACATAATTACAGCTGCCCTGGGTAAAACCTTACGCTAGAATAACTAAGAATTGTCACTATAGCAAGTAATATACTCAATTAGGAAAAAAAATACAATTTCAAAACCAATAATTTGTTCAGTTAGAGCAACTAAAATAAAATAATCTGTGCAAGATAATAATGTACTTAGTTTTTGAAGTAAAAGTTTAGTAACTTTTGGAAAATAAGTGAACAAGAAAGAAGCCTTATCATCAAACAAGGAATCCAATTTGTCAGTACGGGAAAATTACAAATTAAAATTCCATTTTTCAAATATTCATTCCCATGTCTTACCAACACACACAGAGCCAGATGATGTCTCTCTGATCATCTGCAACTGACTCCAATTTCCACTCCCTTGTTTTTCAGAATAGGAAAATGTAGTCCAAACTGGTGACTAGTAATCCCAGGTTGGACTAAGTAATCCCAGACTTAGTATTCAAATGCAAGAATTCCACCATCTTCTTTCCATCAAACATTACACCAAATGTTGAAATTTGCCATTTAACACAGGAATCTAGTCCATGGCAGCTTGGTGCATCACTGATTTGAGCATCTGTATTGTTGTGTCTTAGGTATTCTACTGTAATAAACACGCTAATTCCAAAGTGCTCACAAATGTGAAAGTTTCTCCAATTCAATACACAGATACTTATATATGAGTAAATAATTTTACTAATAAAAGTACCAATAAACTAATCATATTTGTGTCAAGAAGCATTTACATTAAAATTGAATAGAAGACTATTTTTACTTACATCCTTGTGCTTTTTTTCAGGCTATATATTTTCAACCTCTATAATGGAAGGTATGCCACAGGTCACATTGTGCAAAATATACCTATTTTATATAAATTAACAACCTTCAATTTGTTTTAAAAAAACATGTCTATTTTAATTACAGAGGTATTGACTTCAAAACCACCAGTATATAAAGTTCTTGTAATTTCTCTCACAACTATGTCAGCCCCAAACTGCTCTGTTCAACTTTGCTGTGAGACAATCACAGTGATAGTTTAAAAATCATATGCTATATTTTAACAATGGTCCAAAGAAAAGAAAATGAATTATTTCAAATCTCAAAAATAGGTGGAAATAGAAATGTGCAGAACAATACCGTATAGTAGCTTTCTGTAACAAAGAGAATACAACAAAATAATTTTTCTTTTCCCCTATTTACATAAAGAAAATGGGAAGATACATTAATGATTAATAAAAATAGTTACCTATAGGATGGAGGTATGAATGAGGTACAGGCAAAAGCAAGACTTTTTTGTGATTTTCATTTTGAAACAATATGAATATACTATTCATTCCAAAAATGTTAATGTTAAAAGAAAGGTTTCAAAAACTTTTCAGCAACAGAAAACCCATAGTTAAGTATAATTTAATTGTAATTTTCCTGAGTACAGAGAAACATTTATTTTAAATATTCTATCTTCACAGCCTAGCACAGAAATGTGTAATAAATTTATGATTAGTCAATTTCAAATTAAGTTCCTAAAGAATTCAGAAAGAATATTCCACTACCTGGATACAACAGAAACTTTCACACATGGGGGAAAAGGGGTAAAAGGGAAGATGAGATGAGAAAATATTAAATTCTTCACATTTTAAAAGAAATGTGAAAAATGTAAAAGCTGTTGGCTACAATTTAAGAATAAAGAATAAAATGTTCTTATATTCAATCTTCCCCTGTATAAATACACCAAGCAGACTATGAGCTGACACAGGACAAGCTACTGACACTCTTAATATTATTAATATTTTTAGTTTCATTTAAAGTACTACACTAAAAGCAGCAATGCAAGAAATGTTTAGTTTTCTCAATAACATAAATACCCAACAACTGCAACCAGTGTCTTTCAGGTTCATTAGTTCTCCCTATTTCTGAAATGTTTTCTCACAATTCATTTCTATCCCTGAAGCTACCTTCAATATCTACTTTTTTCTTATTCATCAAATGCTACTGTGAAGCTGTATGAAACCTTAAAGAAATGAGAATTGCTGCTTTTTAAAAAAAAAATTTCCTGGGCCATTTAATAATTACAAAGTCAAATAAGAGTCAAAAACTCCAAGAATCCTTCTTAGAATACAGTTAATAATGTCCTCAGTGAAAAGTTTAAGAGTTTCTTAATATATTATAGCAATGATTCTTGAGTATGATGTTGTAGTACCCTGAACTCATTCATTGTCTCAGGGGTATGCTGCAGAAACTTCTTTAAAAATGTAAATATGTTTTATTTCATTAATTGATTTATTTTATCTAGTAAAATGTCTACTGTTATGGAAATTAAGTAATGTGAAAAGATAGCGATATCGTAAGAGAAAAGTGCCAAGTTTAAGGTCATTGGGGCACACACATATTAAATAGAAGCACCCTCTCTTACAAGGTTTCCTTTTCCTTTTAATGTTAAGTTTAATCCTGTATCCATTAACAAGGGATGGTGCTATGGAGACAAAAAAGGTAACTATTAAGTTAAAGCTTAACACAACATTAATGTTGCTCAAATGGGTGGCTGGTGAAACAAACTGTCGCACATGCATAACATGGAGTACTACTCAGTAACAGAAAGAATGAAGTACTGACACACACAACAACTTGGATGAACTGACACAGAGAATTACGCTGAGTGGAAAAACTCAATTCCAAAAGGCTTCATACTACAATGTTTCACTTCTCTAATATCCCTGAAGTGGAAAACTATAAAAATGGAATACATGGGATCTTCTGTATAACTTCTAATAATTACATGTGCAACTATAATTATCCCAAAATTAAAACTTTTTAAATGTTTTTTATTGATTAGAGTAGGAAAAAGGTTGGGGGAAGGGGGAGACAGATATCAATTTTTTGTTCCACTTATTTATACATTCATTGGTTGATTCTTGCTGTGTGTCTGACTGGGGATCAAACCCACAACCTTGGTGTACTGGGCTGACATTCTAATCCATTAAACTATCCAGCCAGGGTCCAAAATTAAAACTTTAATTAAAAAAGAAACATTAATATTATTTGGGTCACCGCAACCAAAAGCGGATTTAGGTGACATTCTCAGAAACCACTCAATATACAAAATCTCTACCAACTGAAAAAGGAAAGAACAGATAAAATGACAAAAGAGCCAAAGAAAAAGTGCTAGAAAAAAACATAATATGATTATTAATGAATATCTATAGGTACAGGAACATATTAAATTTCACTCAGTATTAATTCATGATGAAAAAAGCTTACCCGATGCTTTGCCTTAATTTTCTTCCTATACTCTTCTTTGTCAAATTTGTCCTCTTCTTGAAGCCTTGCCTTTGCTTTATCTAAGTTGATACCACCAGTGGCGTCGTCTTCCTCAGTATCGTTCGACACAGATTTCTGCATCTGTGGCCACTGCTGAACCAGCTGCGGAGAGGGGAAAGATTCAGTATAGGATGGGAGGCAGGGAACATCAACAGAAAACCATTTCCCTTTGTATAATGATTTTTGAAGTAGTGCACATACACACTTTCTGTCTTATTACCTATATTTCTTAAACCTTTTAACAAACTTTATAATTAAAGTGAGCAAGCCATAGAAAAGACTATTCCAGTTAAAGCAATGCTGCCATAACCCAGTGAAAGGAAGATTAAAGGAAAATTTCACAAACTAATTTGGAAGAGGCAGCAGCTGCCTCAGCATCATTTCAAACAGTGTTCTACGGATGCTCTACCCCAGCAACTTGATTCCAGGTGATGTGCACAGGGCCACAAGGCAGGCTGACCAGAGTACTGCCTCCCTGTCAGCTGCCATGGCGCCTGTGTACCTCCAATGTTTCTCACTGCAATGGGTTGTTTTACTCTCCTGGTTTTCTGACTAGACTTTATTTCCTCGAGGGCAATCGTATGTCTTGTTCATGTATTCTCAGAGCCCAATTCAGTATCTGGAATACTTTTGATGCTCAAAATTGGTCGATGGATCACATATCAACTGGTATAACAAATAAAAACTGAACTAAGCATAAAGAAAATCAGTTTACGTTTCACAGGCCTACTCAAATCTACGTGATTGTACACATACATTTTAAGTACACATATGAAGTGAGAGAAGTCAGGGCACTGATCTGGAAGTTGGGAGACCTGGCTTAATACCCTGACTTTTTCACAAGCTCACTGCATAATACTAAATAAATTACTTAATCTCTGGGCACCTGTGTCCTTCTCTGAAAGATAAGGTTTGACTCAACAATCTTCCAGGCCTAGTACTGTAAAATTTTACAATTTAGACAAAAAATGATTTTCTTATTTTACCTAATAAATGGTCACCAGAAGTATTTAAGTAGCTGCCACCATTTTTGAAAGACTGCTAATTAATTGACAGGCAAATGGAAGTTGTAGGCACACACATCACAAGTATTAACGCATCCTCTCCCTCTTGTCACCATCAGTCATTCTTCAAGATGAAATTTCTACAAAGTCTCAACTTTTGGCAACAAATGGGGCTCACAAATGTCCTGCATGAGCAGTCACGCTGGCCGTCACTGACACTGCATGAAGCACCAGTGCGAGGAACTGGCCGTGGCAATGAGAATGCCATCCATTGCTCTGACTCTTCACCTCTTTTTCTATCAGGGGAAAAAAGTCCATCCCTCTGTGGGCTGAACAGATAGCAGCATTTCTTTAAGAGATTTAGATCAGAATTTTCAATGTGGCTCATACAAAATAAGTTCACATTGAAACATTTTACAGTTAAGGATTTACATTCATTTTGGAGCTAAGTGGTATAATCTGTACAGTTAAACTTAGGAGCACAGTAAGGAATCTCAATATACTAACAGCACTAACCTTGTTTTACAGTAAGCATCTGATGTATACATCTATATTCTAGTTTATCCTTTCTCAGGTACTGACTTCTTTTTAATAATTTAGGCAGCACTTATTAATGATGAAATATCTGATGTGATATAAGACAGTGGATATAAAAAGCTCTGTTATTTTATTGGGGTATTAGACAATGGTTCATTGATTCAACAACATTTGCTGATGGTTTTATATGTTAGATACTGTTCTAAGTGCTGAGGACAGAATAGTGAGCGAGGTCAAGAAATACCATCTTCCATCCACAATGGAAGAAACGGACAATAACCAAATAAATACAGAATAAATCACACAGTAAGTGCTGTGGGGGAAAGAATGACAGGGCAAGGGAGAAGAGATGTGTAAGCGTGGAGCGCTGTGTGCTGTGTCGGCATGAACAGGAAAGCCTGTGGGTTGGTGAGCGTGAAACCAAGAAACGATGTTCAGGAGACCCTGCAATGGTCTATTAAACTGGAGCCATCACTCCGTAGGTAGTCACTGGACTTTCTAGGTGTCCTTCATTTTTAAAAATGAAGATGATATTAATAGGTAATAGAGTGACTTTCATGAACAATCTGAGTGCTAAACCTTCCCTACTCTATGAGTATATACTTACACTAAGACCAATGATGAGAGCAGAAGTGTCCAACTTCCAGGATGGCTGTGAATGTGGCCAAACACAAAATCATAAATTTACTTAAAACATTATGAGATATTTTTGTGATTACGTATCATAATGTATTTAATGTGTGGCCCAAGATAACTCTTTTTCTTCCAGTGTGGCACACAGACACCAAAAGATTAGACACCCCTGGAGGAGAGGAAAATCAGGCACCTATGTGTCTGAGATTATTTTAAAGCAGAGAATTGCTTTCCATAGCAGGCCAGCAAGTAAGAAACATGCCAATACAGCATCTAAAATTGAGGAATTGCAAAGCAGAGGGTTTTTAGAGTCCAGCAAACAAAGCTGTGGCAAGTAGTTGTGTTACTACTTGGACTTGTCCCCATAGAACAGGCTGATGGATACCACGACAAGAAACTCTAATCTATAAAATCATAATTTAGGAAGTTCAAAACCAACTCTGTTATTACCAAGAAGTATCTCAGTTTATTGTCAATAAAACATTCTTGCCTGCAGGTATATAGTGGATGGAATGCCAGTAGTAACAAAAGGAACTGCCTAGCATATTTTAGAAAACATTTTTTTCTCATTAGTGAATGGTAAGTAAGCAGGACAGTCAAACTCTTCATAATACTTGGGACATACATTAAGTCCTCACTCAACATCCTTGATAGGTCCTGGAACGTTCAGTAAATTGACCTATTGTGCAACCAATTTTATCATAGGCTAATTGATATAAACAAGAGCTAAGTTCCTACGTCATCCCATCAACATTATAATGAAATATAACATTATATTTGAGGACCAGCTCTACCTCAGAAATAAAGCATTTAAGACTCTTACCTCTCCTTCATCAGTAAATGTTATCTTCTTATTCACTTTAAAATTTCTCTTCATTACTTTTTTCGCTTCTGCGACCTTGGTCACTTTTTTCTTGACTCTGGATTTAGAAGACTCTTTTTTCTGTGTGAGAATAAAAAAAAGACAGATGATTACATAAATGGCTGATTTATATTAACAATTGAAGTCTGGCAATGCACTTTCCAAAACCAACTGCATTTACTGCTACACTGGCTAATGAGAAGCGCCAAAAATACTGTCCAGAAATTAAATTATTAGACTTAACTCATGACACCTCCCATGTTAAAGGGAAATAAGATGTAAATAAGGGAAAGACATGTAAATAAGATGAATGTTAGACATAACCTTTACATTTTATCCTATTACTAAAAGTGTGTTATCCTGATAATGTTAAAGCACCAGAAACTACATGATTACATGATAAATGGACAGGTAAGATAAATAAAGCTATCTTCCAGCTAAAAAATAGAGCACATTTTATAAATATATCTAATTTCCAAGTGCAAACTTAAACTTTTAGAAGAGAAATGTTTACCTGGAAAGCAAAATGACTGCAATACATTGCCACTCAACATTCTTCCTGCTATTACATTAATTTCCTATGTGTACACTGGAAAACACCCTATGATAACTAAGCTGTGACCAAAGATGAGAAGGAATGAGTACTTAAACAAGGATACGCTGATCACCACGCACCTCGCTAATGTCCTAAAACCACCAGTGCAAGATATTAAAAATATAAAGCCATTGCGTATCTGTGCTAAGTTAATGGTGAGTGAACTATTTGAGATAGGAAGCTGAGGGTCACACCATAACCTGCTTTGATGAGTGACAAGAAATACCACCTTTGAGGAAAATTTGGATTATTTTCCTTAAATTAAAACTGTAGTAACTAATGACAGTGGTAATCAGTTAACTAATCTATGGCAGCCTCCATTAGATGAGTAGACAGAATAAGCAGAAGTTAAGAAAGTGGTATAGTTAAGAAAATGGAATTGAATTCAAGCTCTGCCACTTAGGAGCAAGTTACTTAACCTCTGGGCTTTAGGTAAGTAAACTGATGATAATAATAGAACCTATCACACAGGATTGTTGGGAGAGTTTAATAATAAATGTAAAACATACAAAATATAAGTGTTATAAAAATCTCAAATATCACTATTATATATTGATCTCATGCTAGCTAAAGAAATTATACAAACTGCAGAGACGCTTAATTTGCAAAATCCAAGACTTCGAGTTTCCCAGGTGATTTTTTATTTTTTTAAACTCTGTACCATAGCAAATCACCCAAAGCAAGTTAGAAAAGAGGACTGACACAAGGACTATCAGAAGCTTTGAGATGAACATCAACTACAACTGTTACGTTACGGTAATAAGTATGCACCAAAAAAAAAAAAACCCAATTAATTTAATAAATTAAATACCATTAATAATGAATACCAAAATCCTGAAAAATACCATAAAATTCAAAACAAATTTACTAAAATAGGTTTCTCATTAGTTATCAATAAGTTATATGTCTAGATAATATCTATTATGAAAATCAGCACATCTACAAAAATATGACAAGTACAAGAACATTTTGACACTGATGGTTCTGTTATGTGGGTATTACTAGCACTACATTTACTATTTCTGGTTCTTAGTACATGCAAACTATAGTATCAGACAACTTAAGAATCTGCTAGGATTTTAAATCCATTTAAACTGCTTATGAGAAGATTAATCTCCTCTGAAGTAACTAATTTTTACTATAGCAGACAGATAGCAATGTACTACAATCTCTATACCTACATTTGACAGGACTGCTAAGGAGATTAAGTTTGTTTTAGATTTCTTCTTGCCAAGGGATACCCCATCTCCTCCACCCGCTGGGAGTCCATGACTACATGAATGTTAAGATCTGATAGCATTTGGCTCTAAACTGGTCTATCCCTCCTTCACAATCCCCTTCCCACCACTGTTCTCTAAGATACATTACTATTACTCTCCTTTAGGAAATGTTATCTCAATTCCTGATCTGGCTTCTGAGAGTGAATGAATGCACTGTATGATAGTAAAACTCCTAAATTAAAATGAAATAGGGTGGCAGAAAGCCTGTCAACTGAAGTTAAGTTGCTAACAGTATGACACCTTATGAACACAAGGCAGTTTAATAAGACCCCCAACACACACACTTCCTTCCTCCCAATCATTACTCCTACAACTTTCTCCCCACAGACTCTTATTTAAAAACATCACCAAGGTGACCACCAGGATTGGTGACAATGCTACTGACTCCTACTGGATCTGGATCTAGGCTTTATGGTTAGGTCAATTCTTAAGGTTCCTGAGTTGGGTGACATTCTAACATTAGACCTCATAATGAAAATGCGGAAGAAACAGTGCAAACTAAGCTCATTATGATGTAAAAACAACAATTACATAGAAGTAAGTTGTAATCACTGAAACACAAAAAATACTGGTGAACAGGGGCAAACTTTTGGAGGGAGAGAATAATGCTCTATATCTTGATAGGAGTTTGAGTTACATGGATCTATACAGTTGCCAAAACTCATTAAATATTACACTGAGATTACTGTATTTCATTGTTTGTAAATTTCATTGTTTGTAGAGCAAATACTAAACTTTAGTTAATGCCAGACAAGCTGAATTATCAATGTATGGGAGAAAATATAGTGATGTTGGTAACTTACTCTAAAATGCACTAAATAAAAAGGGATGATGAATGAATACAAGAATTGCATATAAAGGTAATATAATAAAAAGTTAATTGTAGAATATGAGTGGTGGCTAATTTGGTGTCCAAAAGTACAGTTTTTTCAACCTTTCTGTATGTTTAAAATTGTTTGAAATAAAATATAAAAGTCTAGTCACGGGAAAAAGAGAAAAAGTCACAAAGCAAAGATATCAAATAATATTATGGCTTAAGTACAAGAAAACTGACAGAGCTGAATCCACACAAGTCAAAAAACAATCCTGAAGAGTAGAAGCTTGGAGTGATGCAGGTCTACTGCAAGAGCTTTAGGGAAATCCATGAAACCACTGAAATTATGTAACAAGATTTGGGGGTATTTGCATCTTTGCATTTTTATGGTTTATCATGGTTTCTAAATTGGATCTGTGATCTCTTCCTCTAAAAAAAAAAGAAAAGATTAAATTTTTCTGTTAGTTTAAGAGAAGACACTGAAAGAAGGGGCAGAAACAGCAATATCGGTGAAAAGGTACATACATCTTTCCCAATAGGCATGGCTTTTGCTCTGATACTCTAGCATTATTCTTCACTCAAACATGCACTGAGTGTCTTCAACAAACAAGGACACATCATAGTACATGCCAGGGCTCCAGTAGTGAAATAGACAGGTGGACTCCCAACCCTCATTGAGCCTAACTCTATCAGTGAAAAAATAAAAAATAAACCAGTGGAAAATATTATTTAATCACAAATGTAGTAATACTCAGAAAAAATACACAGGAGGACGAATTAATCAATATAACAGGTGCTTGCCCTAGCTAATGGGAGGAAGTCAAGGAAAACTTCCTTTTGAGGGACAAATGTCTGAAATGAGTAACAAACAACTAAACACTACTTACAGACTACTGGCACATCAGTGATGAAAAATACCATCTGCATGTCCACCGATGGCGTATTTCACATGTGGCTTATAAGGGAGTCTTAGCTCAATGTCATTCTTTTGAATATTAATTTTAGCAGGTAATACATGTTCACTTATTTTATAAAGGTTATTCAGTTAAACTGTCATTCATGTTCTCTTCAGCTACCTCAGATTACTTCCTGAGAAGCAAGCATTGTTCCTAGTTTTTTCTGTATCCTTCCAGAGATATCCTACCCACATTCAGGTTAAGTACATCAAGAACTCATAATAGAGCCATCCTTCAATGAATAGCCTTACATATAAACCTTCATACATGTGTGCATTTATATATATAATATAAATTTCTAAAATTAAATCACTCAGAGTATGTGCACTTAAATTTCAAAAAACATTTCCAAATAATCCTCCAGAGAAGTTATACAAATTTATACTCTCACCAAAAATTTGAGAGGAACTGGTTCTCCACTTCTATTTAAATATAATCTATATTATTAGGCTTTATGTTTGCCAGTCAACTAGGTGAAAAATATCATCTCAGGGAAGTTTTATTTTGTATTTGTACAAAGGCGTTTTTCTTGTGCATTGTATATATTCTTTTCCAGTATTTATTTTAGGATCCCTGGCATTTTCTTTATTAATTTGTGGGATCTCTTCACTTGCTAAATATGTGTTAGTATTTTCTCCCACATCATCATTTAAGTTTAGAGTTTGCCATATGCCGTAATATTTTGGTTTGCTTTGTTTTGTTTTCTGCCAAGCATATATTTTTAACTGCTACATAATAAACATTTTAAGTAAAGAAATTTTCTGGATTTGTGACATACCTTTAAATATCTAACTAAAGACTTTTTAAAAATAAATTTCATTCCTTAAAATTCACATTTTAGTTAAAAGTTTCAACAGTGGCTCTTGGACAAGGGAGAAAGAAAGTGCTCATCAATAATTTTATATTTCTCTTCATGAAGTCACAAAAAATATAAAATAAACCATTGTTAGGGACGAGTTGCATTTTGACTACAAGACTTTATATTAATGCTACAAAAATGAAATTTGCAGCAACCAGAAAGTATTCCAGTTTTCTGACAAGATGTAAAACATCAAAATCCAATTTCCATTTCTATTTGCACTTCTCCCATAACATGTATGCTAGACTTCAAAATAAAATGCTAAATGGAAAATATCATAAAATATAAAACTGATAAAACATCAAGTCATTCTCAAGGTCCCATGATAGCTGTAGATGGTTGCCACAAATAGCTGGGAAACAAAGAACTACAACCACCACAGCAAAAACAATAATGGCTCCTACCAGAAGGATCGTGTTTGTTTACATTGGCTACAAAAAGATTCCAAATATAATCAATTAAGAAAACCTACCTCAATATAATATATCTGGGGGGAGGGGGAGGGATCATATTGCAAAAGAAAATTTTTAAAAAGGCTTAAGGAGTTGAAAGTTAGAATTAAAAGGACAGATACTCT